AGTTTTTAGGATTGATTGATGTCTCAGTTCCTGACAACTGAGTAGATTTTAAGAAGGGAAATAACAAGTTCCTGCAACTTTTTTACTCAAGCAGCTGAAACTCTTAACCTGTTTGAGAGATGAACACAAGACGTTTCATTGATTTATGACCTGCGTGTATATGCTATAAGCACCTGATTTAAGTTTAAGTACATCTTTCAGGAGGCATACTCTGGGCCCATATGCAGTGAAAGCTATCGGAGTTCCGAAGGGGAAACAATTTATTAATAGTAATATTATAGAAATGCTAAAAGTTCTTAGTGTATTCTTATTGTACTGGGATCTGTGTAAAGGGTGGTGCTTCCCTCTGAAAAATCAGTCTTTTTAGTATAGACTATAATGAGGGGAATAATTCATAACCTGCCAGTAATAATGAGGTGGACATTTCAGGATATGCATAGGCAGTTGAGCCCAAATCCCTCGGGGATTTTTTAAATGCCTACTTGTTTTTGAGTTCAACAGAAGTGAAGTCCTCGAAATATCAGTAAGATCTTTCTTGTAGTTATTGCGGTAAAAGCACAGTATAAGAACTTGCACAGGACATGAAACAAAGCAGTTTTGACAAATAGTAAATATGTAGGAGTTGTGTGGTGTATTTTTCTGAACAGTGTGGATGTTGCTGAATTATGGTAAAATTGCTTTCCTCTTCAGAAGCACCAACAGAAAGGATTTTAACAAGTTCTTTAATATGTTTACATTTTTATGTAGTATGAAAAGGCACGAATTTATCGTATGGATGGGTCATATCGCTCTGTTGAGCTGAAACATGGAAACAATACTACTGTACAGCAGATAATGGAGGGTATGCGTTTGTCTCAAGAAACTCAGCAGTACTTCACTATCTGGATCTGTTCTGAGAACCTCAGTAAGTAACAAGGAAGATTGTTATACCTGAGAGGTTATCATAGCTTTTTTATTTCTGCTGGCCTTTAGACAAAAATAATATTTTCTTGGGAAAATAGGAAACATGCTCTCTGACAGTTGTCTATTACCCTCTTTCTATCAGCTTTTAAAAGTCATTTTTAGGAGTTAATTTGTATCTAGGCTGTCTGTTAATACACTTTGTCCCTACCAGAGACTCTTAATCCCGGTAGGTTTCGTTCTTTGTGTTTTTTGCATAGGGACTGCGACCAACTTTTCTATTTCCTCTGCTTAAGCTTTCTTCCAGTAGATCAAATGCCAGCCTTTACAGCCTGATGTCTTCAAACTGTGCTTTCAGAGCTATAGAGAGCTTCTCCATTCTAGCCGTCATTTTTGGTACCCCCAGTGGGTCTGACCCTGTAGCACTGTGGCATCTAGAATATTTCATCTAGGAAGATGAGACTAGTCCAGATTGCCTTTCTGTTATAGGGCATCTTTGTTGTCATAGCCCTTACTGCTAACTTGCCCTGATTTTAGTGGTATTTTTCTTCCCAGAGTATCTGAAATTGGATGCATGCGGTTCTTTCTACTAATGTTTTATCTATTTAAAACTAGTAATTAAAGTAAACCTGATTTGATGGGGTTTTTTTATTAGGTCATAGAATTATATGAAATTTTATGTGTTTTGCACTAAAATGATTTTTGATAAACATGTTTTCAGATCTATTTGATGGGACGCAGTTCTGATGCAAAATGTCATTATTACATTTGCTGTATTTTTTACATATTGCTGATCTAAATAAAAAGTATATTATAGTCTGAAATATGTAGCAAAAGATAAATAGAACCACAAAAGAGTCAATGATTGTGATTGCATTTCATTAGAAAACGTGGTAAATGGTACTGGTGCAACAAGATAGCTATGGGACATGTTATAATGGATTCCCCATCCCTGGAAGTGTTCAAGGCCAGGTTGGATGGGGCTTTGGGCAACCTGGTCTAGTGGAGGGTGTCCCTGCCCGTGGCAGGGGGGTTGGAACTAGATGGTCTTTGAGGTTCTTTCCAACCCTAACCGTTTTATGATTCTAGGATTTAAAAAGCACAATTCGGGTCTGGTAGGATACTGTGTTGACAGCACAATTACCACAGAAGCCTTGAATTTAAAATTTTATTTACTGATGTCAATCTTCCACTGAAGTGGCATTTGTTACTTTTTTTTTTAATCTATAAAGATTGCAGGAAATCTTTTCTTCGTTCTTTTTAAATCTTTTTCTCCCAATGTAATGCCATTTGCCTTTTTTACTTTGCTGTCTGCCACATGACTACTGTAACTCTTGGTCAAACATAGATGCTAATGTCTGGAAGAGAAGGAAGTGTTTGAGTGCTGAAATCTTGCAGCTTGTGCCTTTTCTAAATATCTATGTCATGTTTTACTCAAATCATTGATTGCATTTGAGGGGAAGAATTCACTGATATATTTTTTTGTTTAAAAACAAGTAATTGTCTAGATATTTAGCTTAAGTTTGAAAATCAGTCAGCTTCTGATTTACAGCTTTAAACAACTAATGGACAAGTTTCATTATAAAATGTATTTCTTGCAGTTTGTTGTGTACAACTGTAAAGACCATCGTTTTCTTGTTTGTAGGACGGATAATGTTTTTCTGTGTTTGAATGTAGGGTGGCCAAGTTGAGTGAACAGATTATTCTCAGTGAAAAGATGTTGCACTGTAACATGTCCTTTGAAGTTTGAAATACAATGTGAAATGTCACAGTGTAAAAGCCAGGGCAGCGAGGATGAGGCAGATACAGCCTTCTGGTTCCTCACTACTAGAAAACAGCCAAGCAGTAGTAATCACAAGGACAGGCAGGGTAAGTGAATGAGCAGAATGTAGTAGGACTATAGTAGAACCTCTGTATTGATTTCTCAGTTCTCATATAGACAAAATATCTGTCAAAAATAAGATTTTTGGACTTTGCCTTTCTCCCATAATACAACAGGCTCTAATGTTTTATTATTGTGTTTTTAAGGTCCATCTTAGTATTCCATTAAATTTTTAAATACAATTTCACTCTTGAGAAGCTGAAAATAACAAAAGTTCATCACTAGTGCATTTAGTGAATTGATGCTGAGAGCTTTGTCAAGAAATCCGTATTTTCAAAACTATATATAGCAGTTTAGAAAACATAGGGAAAAATGTTTGTTAATGAGTCCTCAGTTTCAGATACTCTGGTCTTGGTGCAGCATTTAATGGGGGGGGTGTGTGGGGAGGGGGTGTCTGCTTGTTTGTTTAAAAACAAAACCTGTTTTTTTCCAGGCCTCCAACTGAAGCCCTATCACAAGCCTTTGCAGCATATTCGAGATTGGCCTGAAATATTCACTGAACTGACAAACTTGGATCCTCAAAGAGAAACTTCACAGCTTTTTCTGAGAAGAGATGTGAGACTTCCACTGGAAATAGAAAAAAAGGTTTGCACTTGGAAGTGATAGCATGAAATCATAGTCAGAATCAGAACATTTTGACCAACACTCATTGTGTTTAATGACTGCAGTAATTTCCAAACTTATTTAAACCAGACCTCTTCTCTCCTTCTCTTTTCTGCAGTAGTTTGAGTCTTCAGGTTCCTCCCTGCCTCCATCCCTCCCTCTCTTTCTCTCTCTCTCTCACTTCTCACCTTCTGACCTGTTTGGTTTATAAGTCTGTGTGCCCCAGTCTTTATCTGTCTGTCGTACAGCTAAAAACAACCTGCACGATTTGCTTGCTTTTCCTTGTGCTGTAATTTTTCAAATATTTAATTAGCCAATGTAAAGGAGATTATTTAAATATATTATTCAAAATTAATTCACATGGGAAAAACCCACAAATGTCAGTATTTCTGTGAACTTTTTGATTGGGCATGGTATATTAGTCACCTTTAATTTGTAAGTGTGTTAGATCAGTGAAGTCTTGAATTGAGTCAATGAAAATACGTCATTTTTTCTATTACAAAGCATTACTAAAATGTGCACTTCAATCAGGATCACGCCTTTGTCTTCTGTCTCTGAATCAGTGAGAAATTGTGTTTATAGTTTCTAAGCCCATTTTCTTTTACAAAGAAATCATATTATTTAAATCTTTTTAACAGATTGAGGATCCATTGGCTATTCTTATCCTTTTTGATGAAGCCAGATATAATTTACTGAAAGGTTTCTATACATCACCTGATGCCAAGCTCATCACACTAGCAAGTCTGCTTCTACAAATAGTCTATGGAAATTATGAGAGCAAGAAACATAAACAGGGCTTTCTAAAGTAAGTATGTGTGTTTAAAACTTAAAATCATGTTTTTAGATTAAGTATTTTTGGAGAGCACTTACTGTGTAACTCTCAAATTTCAGGTATGGTATATTTATTATTTTTCTCCATCACTGAGCTCTAGTGCAGAGTAACTACATAACCCTTGTAGCATTAATAGAAGCTGGACATGGGGTCTGAAAAATATATTTATCTTAATTATTGCAGTCCAGGGCAGAGGGATGGAGGTTCTGTATTCTGTAACTCTATACTGAGATACAATAATACCAAAAAGAGTAACAGTATTCATGTGAATGAAGGGTTTTGACAGGACTGAGACTTGGGACAATGCAGAAGAAACCTCTTATTATGTCCACTTGGACCAACTTCTGGGATTGGCTTTCCTTCCTCTTTGAAGAGAACAGACCATGCAGAGATAACTGTTCTCTCATTTGTATGTGAACTGCTATACTACATTGGTCAGAAGCATAGCACCAGTAGAGCTCTGCCAGATGGTGCTTTCCTCTGCCCTTCATCCACTTGCCAGCACAGCAGCAGCTGAGCTGTTCTGGGATATGGCTTCTTCCTCCCACATATGTTTCTATAGTATCTGACCACATTAGGATTCTAGTTCTCCACTGTGTGCACCTTCACTCCACTCCCCTACCATCTCCACCCCAATTAATTCATGTAACAGCAGCTGGGCTATTCTGGAATGCTACCGTACTTCTCATCTCCTCTCATTCACAGCATCAACTGAGCTCTGTTGGCTTGCTTTTTTTGGTTGTATTCTCCACCATCTGTAAATCAGGGTGCATTTTCTGCTACTCTTAATGCTGATGCAAGTGTAGGCTGCCTCTGAAAGGGCTGGCTGTACTGACTACACTTCTTCATCCCTTTCTCTTCCTTCTGTTAGGTGTAGAGACTGTACCACTACAGAGTAAGCTAGGTGAAAGTTCACTGAGGCAAATCAGCAATATGGTTCTGAGTTGGTCCTGCTCAATGGAAGTGTTTGACTCTACTATAGACAGGACTACTTGGAAAGATATTTTGGGCCAGATAAAGAGCCTCGTGGGCATTTGGACATGCTTTCTGTCCATATTCAAATGAAGATGTTGGAAAATCTCTCAAGTTCTTCTTCAGACAGATGAAAATATTTATATTCTGAATTTTTTTTTGTAGTTGACATAAATGTTTATTAATAGACTGGTCATTTCCAAAATATATCCAGGCTGTTGTTTGTATGAGAGTATGCTTGACTTTAAAGATCTGGATACATTGTCCTGTGCAGGGGTTTTGCTTGGTAGATCATATGTGCAGTTACAACAAACATAGTTTAAAAATGACTGAAGAGGTTATATCACTAGGTTTTTGAGACTATCTTTGTTATGCATAAAAGCAAACTAGTAAAGGCTTCCTTTTAGTCTTTTTTGTTTGCTGTGTTTTGGGTATTTTTAAGAAGGCACTTTAAATAAATAGCTTCACTTTCATGTCATGTAATACATAACTTTCATGTGGAAATTAATTGGGCCAAGTCCTTGGTGGTGCCTGAATACAGCTGTGAAGGGAAGAGTATCCATAAGCTGTCATCTTTTCTGAATACGTGACATGCTGGTGTAAATGACCGTATATAATTTTTGCTTCCAAACTGGAATTCACCAAACTGGTCTGTAATCAAGTAAGAGTCACATGCTGCTAGCATTTCCTCTCCCTGCCGTGTCCATGATGCATGACACAAAGCGCATAACACAAAGCTGGATCTCCATTAACTGAGAATTACACTATTATCTTAGGAAGCCTTGGCTAAGCTTCCTACCTGAAGCAAGACAGAGTAGGAGCTGTCTAGCTCAGTATGTGACTTGAAGATAGAAATTGGCAGACATTGTTCTTTCTCCTTACTTTGTTTAGTGAAGAATAATTTTTTTTCTGGTTTGTTTTTCTTGCAGTGAAGAAAATCTAAAATCTATAGTACCAATCACTAAACTAAAAAGTAAAGCTCCTCACTGGACAAACAGGATACTTCATGAATACAAGGTGAGATAAATAATCAAATAGTAAAAAATCCTGTCTTAAACATTTTTCACTGTTTGGTTGTCAGCTAATGAACAAAAATACTGGTTTATAAAGCTAGAAATGTGTATGTTCTGAATTTTGGGATGGGTTGTTGTAATGCTGTTTTTCTTGTACAGCTACAGTTGATCTGTTAGAAGAAGTCAATATAATTGTCATCTGTTCATTTATCTTCAGTGTTAACTGTGTATTGGGGATACTGCCAATTCAAGCACACACATTAAAAAAATCTGCTCTGATTTACATTTTCACATCTGCTTGTAGCAATAGGTCCAGTGTAACTTGCATGTTAGGGATCTCTTAGCACTGCTGATGCCTGCACACACACAAACTCCTTTGACTACAGCAGTTAATTGAGCAAAATTTTTAAATGTGGACTTGATCTGTTTCTGTAAAAGACCTCTAACTGAGGGCTATGGATTCCAAACAAGGTCAGAAGCACCTGAACTTCATAAAAAGCTGTGGAAAAAGTGCAGTGTGTTAGAGGGAGAACTGTACTGGCTGCCAGGTGTCACTAAAGGTAGCTGACAGGAAACACTGCAGAGGCACCATGGGAATGTTCAGGCCTTGCCCCTCTTCTGAGGTGAAGTTAATCAGTCATAAACTTTGTCTTGGTGCCTACTTCTTTTTTTGTCCGAAACCAACGGGTATTCCTCTTCTTTGTAATGCAGAGGAAGGAGGGAATGATGGTGGTCTTTCTAAGACTATGGTATAGCAGAGTAGTCTCTTACTCTTTCTTGTAGCAGATAATATGTAAGAATCATAGAATCATACTATCGTTTTGGTTGGAAAAGACCTTTAAGATCATCAAGTCCAACTGTTAACCTAGCACTGCCAAGTCCACCACTAAACCATGTACCTAAGCACCACATCTGCACGTTTTTTAAATACCTCCAGGGACGGTGACTCAACCACTTCCCTGAGCAGCCTGTTCCAGTGATGGACAACCCTTTCAGTGAAGACAATTTTCCTAATACCCAATCTAAACCTCCCCTGGCGCAACTTGAGGTCATTTCCTCTCGTTCTATCGCTTGTTACTTGGGAGAAGAGACCAACAATGAGCACAGTTTTCTTAACTTCTGCTCTTAGGCCATTATTTTGGGGTGTGGGGTATGGGCAAAGGGGAAAGGAGATGCAATCTTTCATTCCAGTGCTATTCATATATTTGACATTTTTAAAATGGCTGTGTAGAATTTGGATAAGCTGTAATGCAGCGTGTGGCTGCAAATAAGTTGGTTCCATCCACCACACCCAGTCATGGCTCCCTAACTGTTGAAGACCTGTGTTCTCTCTCATGCCTGTGTCTCCTCATCTTTTGTTTGTTAAGGTACTTTACATCAGTCTATTCTGAGGTAGCAGCACTCTAGTGATCCTTTGTTGTGACTGTTTCACTCTGTTGAAGAGGAAGAAACAGAAGCCCATCTCATTCTGAATGAAGGCTCCACTAAAGAAAAGAAAACTGGACCTCTCTTTTGCTTAAAAAAGAATCCATGTTTTTTGGGAGGAGTTAGTTACTCATCTTTCCATGCCTTGCTGGATTGGACCCCTCAAAGGAGGAATGCTTAGTTTTATGGATTGTGATGCATTTAGTGTCAGATGGGTGTGTAGCTGCTTATCCCTGGAGTTGGACATACTTCTGAGAGAGGCAAAATTGTGGGGCCATGCAGAGGTTAGGTGTCAGATTTCTGAGGGTTGTACATGCACCTGCTTCCTCAGTCTCTTTTGGCATCTGAGCCTTTCTGTGGCTCTAGAGTTTGATTTAGATGTGGAAAACGGTTGGTGGGAAACCACTTTGGGAATACTGGTTTAGTGGGAATTCTACTAAATAGTGGATTTTCTTCAAATAACCACAGCTATTTGGGAAGACTTGTTGACTTCTTGTTCTTTATTTCTAGAATCTCAGCACCAGTGAAGGTGTGAGTAAAGAGATGCATCACCTTCAGCGCATGTTCTTGCAGAATTGCTGGGAAATTCCTACTTATGGAGCAGCTTTTTTCACAGGACAGATATTCACCAAAGCAAGTTCAAGTAGCCATAAAGTCATCAAAGTGTATGTAGGAGTAAATGTGAAAGGGCTGCACCTCCTCAACATGGAAACAAAGGTCAGCTTAAGTAAACTGCTAATGCTAGCTGTTAAGCTTAATTCTGTTCTCTTAAATTCTTTGCGCTAGTAGTCATTTCACATCCAACTGCTTGGTTAAACTTGGCTGTGAAAATTTCCAAGATTTTAAGATCTTTATAAGGCACTACTAATAGAAAGCCTTGGATTTTTCCACTTGACTACTTCATAAGCTACAAGTAGTTTGTGGAACATGCTGTTCTAAGTCAGAATCCTGTTTAAGTGAACTACGGAAAGTTCAGTTTGTAAGCATGGAGAGTATTTTCTGAGCGACAGTTTCCTACATTTCATTGTAGGCTTTACTCCTCAGCCTGAAGTATGGTTGCTTTATGTGGCAGTTGGGAGATGGAGATACATGTTTTCAAATCCACAGTCTGGAAAACAAAATGAGCTTTATTGTGCATACCAAACAGGTAAGCATCATCATTTTTCATCCTTTATGTTCAATTATTTTTTCCTTAACTAGATATATTCTTCTTCTCTCTTGAGATGGAACACCCTTGTAAAGTATAAAAGAAGCCCAAGCCAAGCCCCCACAAAAATTTTAAAATTTTCTTTAAAATTTTCTTTTTAATATTTCAGAATGTTTGTTTTCCTAGCATGTGAATCCTTTAGTGTTCAAAATACATAACATGCATCAGTAATCATTAAACTTTTTTTTTTAATTGCAACTATTTGTTGCATGTACCCAGTCCCCTCAGACTCTAAGGATAATTCCCTAATATGATGAGAATCACCGAGTTAGAGCTCTGGTCACTTTGCTATCAAAACTAGTGGAGTTTCAGATTGGATAAAACTGAGGATCTGTAAAGGCAATGTTATAAAGCAACTTCACTGCAATTGCTACCAGCAACTTTTGATAGTGTTTGTGGATGTCTGATGGAAAATGCTTGTTTTACCTGCATCAGTGGTAATATGCCATGTTAAAATGTGTTGTGACAAAATTACAGCTTTGAGTGTCTTGCATACTTTGACAGTAGTTGCTTTTGATTCTTATATATTAAGGTGATTATAGGGGAAGTAATTTTGAAAACCACTTTCTGATATCTGAGTAAAACCTAAGTTTTATTTTCCTTATTTCTAAAATGATGCAACTTCTAACTGATTATTTTTATCTACTTGCATTTGTCATCTACTTAAGTTGATCGTGTCATAGTTCTGAAATACTGATAGAATTTAATTGTATACCTTTATATAGGCAGGTCTCGTCGTTAAACTGCTAATGAAATTAAATGGCCAGTTAATGCCAAGTGAAAGAAATGAGTGATGGAAATGAACAATAGTTACAAAACAGCATCTTATGGCTAAGCAAAAACCAACTTATTTCTCATCATAACAGAAGACTTCCACGTACATGAATTTCACACAATAGAAAAGTCAGTTTGTACAGTTTTCTAACTTTGTACAGAAGCTGCATGGTTTATTTTTTTAAAAAAACTGTACAACATGTCTATTATTTTTATAAATATTTTCATGTTCTTATATAAGCTATTGTAGGGCTTGAGCTTCACCAATAAAGCTAATGAAATGTAAATGGTTTACTGAGTTGGATGAGCATGAATTGAGTAAGGCTTTTGTTCCCAGAGGACTATGGGACTACCAGTGCCGTTAAGCAACTCTCAGTTAACCTAATTACCTTTCACCTTATTCTGTGGAACATCAAGGAGGTTATATATGTTACAGTATTTTGTAGACACACCTTATTTTTAAGATAGTGTTGATAAGTATGCGTAAAAGACCAGTTAGACCTTTGAGCAACTACTTTTGATAAACTTGTTTTTTATTTGTTTTCTGACAAACGTTATAGCTGGCTTTATTTTTACTCTTAACTTTCTCATACTTTGTATTCATATTTATTCTAAAATATTGCATGAGGATGTCAAAAGGGAAATGCTTTAAATCATTCAGAAGCCATATTAAATGTTTAGCATCTTGGTTTTTTTTAAAAAAATGGATTTTTACTTTTCCTGTGCAATATAAAGTGTGTATATGGAAGAGGAGGAGATACAGATTTACAAATTAATCTTACTCAGCGGACTTCAGAAAGTTTAATCAATCTTACCCTGGATTGCAACGTGTCTGCAGTAACGAAAACTTTGGTATGTAGGAGGTACTAATATACCTCCTATGTATATACCCTATATATATATATATAGGAGGTACTAAGTTATTTCTGTTAAACTACTTTTCCCACTCATTACTTACTTCAGTTTCTGGAGGCTACAAGCAGTGCAGGATGCAGGAACGAAGATTTATAATGCAAGGAAGTCAGATACAGTTTGTGAGCATTCTGCCTGCTCTTTGCAGAGTTGGGACTGGGTCTCAACAAGTTGGGTCCCAAGTGTAAGGTGGGGTACTATGCAGTCTGAAACATATCCTTGTATGTTAAAATAGTATCTATAACACAAATCTTTAAAATTTCTGGTTGTATTTCAGGGTTTTAAGTGCACTTGACTGTTTCTTCCATGTAAACTGCATGCTAAACCAGTGTGCAATATTTTGTAAAAAAGTTTTTTTAAAAAAAATAAAAATTAGCACTTGCCTCTAAGTTTTCAAATAAAAGTTAAAATGAATGTTAGGAACTGTGCTGTTGTGTAGTAACTTCACTCATACCTTACTACTACTAAGTGCAGTTTAAGAAAGTGAAGTAGTATGCAGTTAAAAAAAGTGAACAGTAGACCTGTATTTTGTAATCTTCTTAGCAAGCTATACTTTTCTACTTAAACTTCACTGGCATAAATAACAGTAACTCTTCATGGGTTATTATATTTTATTTAAGGTAAATAATGCAGCAGTCAGGTCCTTCATAGTGCACCCTTGCTTTCACTTGGCACTGGTATCAGAAATACACTTCTCTACATAGCACTTTGTTAGAAAACTAGTCAAAAAATGTTAAAATGTGTGTCAGTTGCATATTTAACAATAGTATTAATATGCCTTATTGCTGTATAGTTCTTTCTGCTAAATTTGTATTTATTATTACCTAATAAATTGTTTGCAAACAAGTCATGTTTTGTTGCTTTTATTATTGCAGCCAGCATGAAAGTGCCATCAAATGTCTTACCAAGCAGGTGTTCTTTCCAAAGAGTAGCATTTTCTAACAGATTCATCTTTGCAAGGTATGTAGGAAGATCATCAGAGAGGATCATAGGGAGGGTCCCATGGCGACCACAAATTAAGGTAGTGCATCTTGGAAACCACTTAGGAATTCATTAGGAAAACTGGAAACTGTTAGTCGTGGCAAACCAGAAGTTGTCAGTGGAGTTGTTAAGTAGTGAGAGCCTGGTTACACAGTCTTAGCAGGCTTCCGGCACCTGGGTACATAGGGCTTTCCACTGTGGTGCTGTGACAAGGCAGGTGAGTACAATCCTTTCATCTCAAACGTGGGGAAATGAAAAACTGGAATGGAGAGAAATCCAACACTGTAGAGACAGACCACTAGTAACAACCCTCCTATCTGTACCAAACAAAAAAAGATAATGAAAATGAGCTGTAAGAATGGCAAGCCTGAAAATTATGCCTTTGTAATCAAGAGATGCTCAGCTTAACTCCTATAGCTTATCTAACGAGCACTTTTTTTTACAAAGTGAGTAACTGTGTAGCTGATAAAGCAAAGATTTGAGAGTAGAATACTCCAGCCAGGCAGCATAAGGCAAAATAGCAACTGAAAACTGTGAAAAACAGGCACAATTTTATCAAGTGGAATAATTAATCACCAGGCTGGCGTGCTGACCCGAGGATTGTTCACCTCGCAAGTGAGGGCCTCTCTTCGGGTGAAGAGTGGAGGACCCACCTACTATCGGATGCCTTTTGCCCTGGTGAAGCGAGCCTGCGCGATTTGAGGTTAGCGACAAGCAGCAAGACCCAAATCACCCACAACTCGGTCTCCGCACTTAAATTCACACACTCTACAACGGCCGCACTTCCAGCTCCGCTCCC